ATGGATGAAGTGAGGTTTCTCTTCTACCCTTGCCTTATCTCCTCTCTAACCGCAGGCCACGTTCACTTCTGAGGACCTGTCCCTGTGGGTGTATGCTCTAGAGGGCAACTCCAATTGGGAAGTGAGCCAGTGGTGGGAGAGGGAGACTTTAAGCTTAGAAAGCCTCAAATGGGCGTCCCCCTTTGGTCCCCGGCTTTAGGCCCCAAGCTTTCCTAGGAGAAGCAGCAGTATGCCCCACCCCCACCTCCCCGGGTTGGCCGTATTCAGAGACGGATCACCCAGGATGCGTGAAGGCTCAGGTTTCCTGCCCACCTTGGGGCAGCTCTGAAAGGCCAGACAGACAAAAAGCTGGTGACATATGGTGGTGGAGGGAGTCTGCCTTTCAGTTCTAGTTTTGCTACCGCTGTTAACATGGGAGCCACGAGTAAAGCATTTCTAAAGATTTAGAGAAGTACCAACTTTAATAAGACCAAGTAGGACAGAGTGGGCTTCTCAAGGTGGCAAATCAGTGCAAGATGGATAGACGCCCCCAAATCAGCCAGGGACAAAGAAACTTTCATGTGAGTGGACTTTCCTCTTTCAAAGACATGCTTGTCGTTTTTCCTCCAAAAAGGATTGTCATCCTACTTTACCAGTGACAAATCTGGCCCCAAAGCACGCACAGCTGATCCCTGCTAAAGCCAGCTCACAAAACTGGGGACTTTGCTTCTCCATTCCAGCCTCTTGGGGCCTTTTTCCATAGGCTTTGGACCAGCCTGGCTCATGGGCAGTGGGCAGTAGGCCTGCCTGGATTCCGGATGCCCCCACAGCTGTGTCCTCAGTAGGCGAGCCCATCAATGGCAGGGCTTCCCATGGCCAGCTGGGGTCCAAGACTGCATCTGTGTTTTCCTCCAGATCTCAGGACCTTTGGCCAGCTCACCCCAAACATGTCTAAGGCAAACAATGAGAGCGTTGTTGGTGATAGGACAACAACTTGACAAGCAAGTCAGCTTTGCAGGCACAATTACAAATTGACCTTCTCTTTGCCGTGGTTGTAGAGCAGGGTTTCTCAACCTCGGCACTATTGATTGACTCTTGGAGTTGGATAATTCTCTGTAGTGAGGGGCTGTCC